AAGTTGGCAACAAATTTGCATTGATGATGATCGTCATCAAGTGTCCGGTGATTTATGATAGGCCACTGTACATGTATGATACATGTATCGTACTACCCATTGTTTCCATGCAAATTGTTTTTAGGAGTGTGGCGGTAGGGGAAGAAAAAAATGACAAAAACAAATGCAATATATACCTTGAAATTCTAGTTTTATTGCTAATTAAGAAGATGACGAGAAATAAGGTAATTTTCCAACAAGATAACGCACTGCCGCCGAAAAATCAAAATTAGTTAACGGAAAATTAAATCGTAACTATTGATTGGCCGTCTAATTCACCGACCTAAATCCAATTGGAAATATTTTGGAAGCTGTCAAAGGACAACACTTAAAAGTGCAAGGTCTTTCGAAGATTTTTGCTGAGCTTAAAATGGTGTTATATCAAATTTTCTCACTATTGTTTCAACTATTATAGATATAGATGGATTGGGTTCAGTTCAGTTTGATTTGGTGCAGTTATAAAACTGGAATTGAGCTGAACTAGTTCAAATGTTTCTATTAATGAACCAATCTATCCTTAATTATAGAGGGGTTATGTATTTAATTCGAGAATTAACGAAATACTAACTAAATATTATTTTTTTAAAATAAAATGAATTTTTATTCTTATTAAATCTCGTCGAGCAATACTTTTCGATGAGTTTCAGGATTATTTTAACATCCTGAGAAATTTAGCTATAAAATATTTGATTTAAACAAAAACCAAATATACAGTCAACCACTATTATCACCTCTACAATCACATCTTAGTATTAATAAAAATTCTTTACAAGCACACCTACAGTTATCATATACATGTATAATGCGAACCACATGAATCTTGTAGATCAGATTGTGGCTTTGTAGTATGGTGTTTATGTACAAAACTGACTCGGCTACTCATTGAAAATATTTTTGTTCCTCTAATCTCTCCACTAATTCCCGTTTCGAATTAAGATGGATAGTGATAACTGCTTTTTTGATATTAGTTCTTAAATTTTGGCGTGTTAAATTAATTCTACTTGAGAATTATTTCATTATCCAAATTTACCAAATTGAGAGGGATGCATATTTTAATAATCTGATTTAAAACTCCTTGAATTTCGAATTTTCAAATTCATTCATATAGTGAATAATAGGAAAAAGGTTTTTTATTAAGTGAATCAGCCTTGACCTCTTGGGTAAAAATCTTGATTGAGAAAATTAATATAAATTTACTCTGAAACTTTATTCGAATCGGATTTAAAACAAATAAAGATGACATTTAAATGGATTCTATTTTTTTTTAATTAAACGATATAGAGAGGGAGACACAAGTAGTTTTGCTAAAGCTGAGATATCACGCATACCACATTTCCCAAAGCTCATTGATACTTGTCGATTTTTAGTGAGAAAAGGTACGCAACCTAACAACGATATGGTTTTCTTCAGGTTTTGCTTATCAGCATTGATAAAACAAAACCATCTTTAAAATTTTTTTTAGATGTACAGTACATGTACTGTACAAGTATAATATTATCATTTAAAATAGACAACTGCATGTATAAAATAAAGCATTAAAGAATTTTTTTAGAAAAACTGCTAACTTTGACAAATTAATGAATAAAAATATCTGTTTGATCTTTACAAATAAAATTTCCCAACGTGAGAACTTACTAAAAAAAAAAACCGCGTCCACCATTTGAAACAAAATTCTAAAGACGGTTTGTTTATACCACTTTTGAATTAAAAAATATCTTTCAAGGAAATTACCTTTTTAGTAAAATTTCCCAACGAGAGAATTGCTATATACATGTACATGTACCGGAATAAAATAACGAGAAATCTTATTCTTAAATTGAATGTATCTTCGTGATAAAAATAAATCTCAGACATGCATAAACTATTTTTAGCTTATAAATGCTTTCAATATCAAACCTGGACCATTAAGACAAAATCTCATCATTTTTGTTTTTACGAACTACAGCAATCACCTAAATCCAGTTTTTCTTGACCATATCAATATACTAACATGCATTTCGAAAGAAATTGCATTTATAATAATAATTAGAAGCATGGATGGGGACCATCAAAAAGATTACTTAAAGAGAATCGCATTATGAAGATTGCTTATTGAGTGTTGTCTGTAATTATACTTAAAAATCGGTTTTTTAGAACTAGACAACACACACCTACTAAAAAGATTGTTAAAACATGTATAGTTTTGCAATTAAAAATTTGATAGGTTTTACCATCAATTATTTAGCACACTTTAATATCGTTATAAACATTGCTTAACGCTATTAAGGGTGACTGCAAAAATCGATGTTTCTTTTTATTTTTATAAAAAAATATTTAATACTAAGACTAGACAAAACTCTAGACAGGAAATTGTAATTGGAATGGTAATTTGTTTGAATCTATACGACTAAAAATTAACTTATTTATTTTTGATTCCCGATTAATTAATCTTATTCCGTATTGAAATAATTCCATGAAATGAGCTGATTCGCTGTCATTCAAATTTGTACGCATTTAAACTATTTTAACACAACTTTCTCTTTATTTCAATTAATTGACGAAATTTTAATGCATTCTATAGTGCTATTCGCTAACATTTATCATGATTTTTTTCACGGTATTTTTGCTAATTTTGTTTCTTTAGATTCTTATAAGCTATAGTCAAATTATGTGATTTAACACTATTCTTTTATTTTATTGTGACCTAGAGATAGCGTTAAACATAATACTATATCGGTATTGTTTTTACCGTCTCAATTAATAAAAGCAAAATTCAAAACAGTAAGTATAATTCAGGATGTTATGACGAAAAAATGGAAAATGATAGGTAATTGACTAAGATTTGGTTATTCAAACTTTCATTAATAATCCTCTAACTTTGTTGCTATGATGTTGTTTGTTTGTAAGATTTACTGATATTAATATTAATATATACTTTGATTTATTGTTAATTTTAGCGGAAAATAAGCGGGACATTATAAGCCTTTAAAAAATGCGTTTCCTTTGCAGGGAAGAGAATCTGTAGTACACATCAATGGATTTAATACAACCTTAAGAGTCGTATACAATAATTACATTTTTTTCTCGGTTATATTACCATTGATAGCTAAAATTGAATTTACATGAGCTTAATGATTTCGCATGCTTGAACGAAAATTATGAAAGCTGAACCGACAGTCAGAAATAACTAATAGATTGAAGTGTATCTTGCTTAGCAATTAGATTGTGAACTGTTTGTGGGGAATGATAAGGTTAGGTCGGGCAAAAAAAAGCATACGCATACATGTAGTAATTTTTAGTTAGAAAGAACAATATATAGAATACTGTATTGGTCTCTATTTATCATTTCATATAATATAATATAACTTTGGTTCAAAATTGTTCTGCCTATTGCTGCTAATTAAGAAAAGTTAGTAGTCACTAATTAACCTAATACATGTATACAGTATCATCTTGTATAACCATCTCACAAGTGCTCAATAGAATTCAAGTCGGGAGACTGTGATGACTAGTCAAGTAAGTTCAACGAAACATCACGTTGCATCTTTGGAGACATATTTTGAGGTCATTTTCTTGCTGGAGGATAAATCCGTATTTTTTAGCATCATCCCCCAGACATTGAATTTCACTGGATAATGTGATGATCATTTTAAAGATTCGCCAGGCTTTTCCAACAGTATTTCCTTTCCAGCTGATCCAAATAATTGGAACTTGCTTTTATCAGATCAAATTACCCGCTTCCATTCCAAATTTGGTATTTTTCTCATTCAATTGAATCTCTTCTTTTTTCGGTGGATTTTTTTATTGAGTGAACGAATAGCCCTTTTTTTTTTTGAAATATTACCAATATGCTATCCACTGATAAATCATCCTTCGGCTCGTTGGACCTGGACAACGATGATTGGTTGAAAAATTACAGCTGTACATGTTTCCAATTTTAGTCATTTTCGTTTTGCGGAATCAATCCGCCGCCCAAAATTGTTTCACCAGTAACACAAAATTAAGTTTTGTACTCTTCAATAAAATCACAAAGTTTATGCTTAATGAATTGTATATGACGTAAGATGATAATTTAATTTCCTAAATGAGTTATACGGTAATTTTACTTTAACATTAACGTTAACTGAATCGATTGATGTACGTCCATGTAATTTGTCGTATGTTTTTTGTTCTAAAAAGAAATTTCTTTTTTCTTAAGAGAACTTTCATTTCTCTTTTATAGTAAAAGTTTTCAGCCAAATAAATTCTCGTTTTGGAATCTGAATAACTGTCAATTATTATACACGCGTGATTTCTCAGCCAAACGATTCTTGTGAAGACGCACATTTTCAACGACGAGAATTTATAATGATAGGTTTTGTCCGACACGATCCAAGACAAATCCATTATAAAAAGAGGACTCATTCCCTCACAAGCACTTCACAAGCTAAAGCATCCATATTATCAAAAGCCTAATTACGAAGCAAAGATGAAATTCCAATCAATTATTTTGTCTCTGACTGTCGCCTTGGCTTCCGTAATTAATGCTCAAGCTTGCACGATTTGTAAGATCCTGTACATTCTATTAAGTTGTTAATTCATAAAACTCTTCTATACTAACGTTATTTTCATTTCTTTAGTCATTAATGGTACTCAATATAAAAGTCAAACTGGCAACGTAGGAGGTGGATGTTTTGGTTTGGGCGGCGATAACAATGTAACTTCAGCTACGGTCAGTGATCCCGGTACCAATTACACCTTCTACTCTGATTACAACTGCAAAGGAACAGCAATTGGTAATGGCACCAATACCACTACCTTCAATCCGCCTTTAAACAAACCCAAATCAGTTAAATTAACGTGTCCACCAGGAAAATAATAAATATTTAATGTAACGATCGACGATGTTTTCATAAATCAATAGTCAAAATCTTCTTATGATAGAGGTCTATTTAACTATATGTTACAATAAAACCTTTTAACCATAGACAAATGGTTTATCGTTAAGCATACATATCATAAAATGGGTGTGCTAATAAAATAATGAATGTCTCAGTGTTCCTGGCATCAGCGTTTCTTAAAAAATAGGAAATTACAAATATATGTACACAGATAAATCGATTGTGAGTTTTCCGTCCTAACTATGATGCGTACAACTTATATTGTAATTGCTAGTGAGATTTTAATGTTAAGAGCTTTTTCCCTGCATTGAAAAGCATCAAAGTTAGACGATTAACATCATTCTTTTAAAAACCGCTACGAAAAAATGCATGTCACTTCCTACATTGTACATGTATTTTAACTCATGATCCGTGCATGATAATCCAACTTACTTTTTTTATATTAGTTGTACTTAACATACCATAATACATTGCATGAATACCCAGGTACAAAATCCACCATGTTGTACTGTATTCCCAGTCCCTATAAGACGTAAGCATACGTAAACGCCCGTAAAATGCACGTTTTACGTATGCTTACGTGCATCGATTTCTTATAGGGAGTATACAACTCATCCCACTGCTATGTGTAAGGGTGTAGACTATTATCACACAAAGATTACGAATGATTTATCAACGTGGAATATCTTGCAAAAGAAGGTTTTGAGTCAATTTATAAAATAACCTGGTCGGATGGACATTGTATAGACTTCCCACATATTAAGCACAATGTTGTGTTGAAAAACTTACACCAGAGTTTAAAACGAGGTGAAAAGTGGAAGCAAGTATCTTTTGCTTTTTAAAATGCAATCAATTTTTTTAAAAATAGATCGAGACTGCTTTTAAAGTACAATTATCGTGATATTATCCATAGAAGTTTATAATATTTAATTTAAAATTTCCTCATATTGCTGGACTTGGACTTATCATTCCAACAAATCTAACAAGAAATTTTGTGGCATACTTCCATATATGAGACCAGAACTGCAAAATAGAAGTCATAAGCTAGCGCTGCAGATGCTTTGGAATGATTATGTACAGGTTGTATGACCATTTGGTGAACGAAGTCAATGTAGATGACATCTAATACATACCAAATAATGTTCCCCCCGATGGAGAAAATTTATTATTGAAAAAATATTCCAAAAAACAGACAATTATTTAGGAACTTCGATACTTATCAATAACAGATTCGTTTGTTGGACGTATGAATTGTCAGGATTGTGTTTACGTCACCAGCACTGGTTATGGCACATAACAGTAGTCACAACATATAACACTAGTTCCGACAAATGGCACTAGTTATGGCAGATGACTATGCTGTAGCCGGAAGCAAAGATTACATTCTAGTTATGACATATAAATGTTGTAACTCTGAGCTGCAATATGTCTGCACCCTTACTTTTCAAACAATCTGCGTTACCATATAGATTCTGGTGTATATTACATATTGTATCCTTTGTATAAAAGCACCATTAGTATACCCTTGTTTTTACAATGTGTATCTTCAGGCGTAAATTAACTTTTTATAAGTAAAACTACAACATATTATATGCAGTAATTACACTAATAGGATTTTTGAAGAAACTGTTGATAACTTTAAAATTCTGTGATCTTATTCATGCATTGCACTTCTCTGTATCATTCTCATTCTCAATAAGTTAATTGTTTTTTAATACTTTTCTTTGAGAAAACATGGAAGTATTATGTTGTAATCAGTAATTAGCATAATCAAATTTCTAAAACTCGCCATATTATTTCTATAATAAAATTATTTCTGTAATCTTTAGACTAGAATTCATTTTTCTTATTATTTTTCAAATATTTGTAAGCTGAACACTTATATACATCGACTTTTTTATTTTTTCAGAAGGAGCTTAAAATTAAAATAAATAAATTTTGAAGTAATTTTATTCTTGTTTATAACTCAGATTCAGAAATAATAGTTATAATTTTGAGCTCTTTTTATTGAAATAGAAAATAAAAAAATATTTGATCAATTTTTTATATTAAAACTCTTGTGTTTTTTAAATTTCGCTGGAATTATATTTATTATAATAAGTTAACTTTTTATTTTTTTTTCAGTTAAGTTAAAAATTATAATTTATTTTTCTAATTCGAATTTTTATTATTTTTTATTTAATTTATACAAGATTATTTCTTGAAATTTAATAAAATTTTTTGAAAGCAAATTTTTTTTTTCTGTATTTGTAATTCATTATTAAATTTCTTTTTTTTCTTAAAAATGATAATATTTTTAATTCATGACTTGTAAAAATTTTGAATTTTACTATCAATAAGAATTATTTTTTGTAACTCTAATTCTAATTATTAGTATTTTTATTACAAGTTGAATATTTTAATTTAATATTATTATTGATTTATAAAATTATATAAAATTTCTTTAATTTAACAATTATTTTTCATCTCTTAATGCTAAATTCTATTTTTTATTTTTAATCAAAATTTTAATTAGTTATTTTTTCTTAAAAATATAATAAAACTATAATATAAAATTAATTTAAAATTATAATTCAATTTATAAATTATTTAAATATTTAACTTATTTAAAATTAATTTTATATTTTATATATTTTTAAAATTTCTTTAAAAAAGTTTATTAATAAAATATAAAACTTATAATAATAATAATTTTCTATATAATATATTTATAATATTATATTAAAATTAATAAAAATACTATAAGAATTTAATAAAATTTATTAAAGATTAAAGTAAAATTTTTAAATAAAAATTATTTAATTTAGTTTATATTTAATTTTATATAATAAATAAAAATTAATAGTAATTATTATATAATAACTTTCATAATTATGAAATTAAAGAATTAATTTTATTAATAAATATAGTAAAAATTAAAAATTTCTTTCTATATTAACTTATAAATTAATTAAGAAATAATTTCTATTTTATATTAAAATAAAGTTAATATAAAATTTTATTAATTAAATTTCATTTTTAATTAGTAAAAATTTTTATATTGACTTTGTAATTAAAATAATTCTTTCAGAAAAAATCTGAAAAATCTAAAAAAAATATATATTAAACTATAACATATAAATTTTATTTTGATAAATAAAATTAATCTTCTAATTTTATAATTATGAGTTATTATATATTATAATAATTATAAAAATAATATAATATTAATTATTTTATTAATTATAATTATATTTTTTTATTTTAGCTTATTATTTTAATATAGATTTTTTAAAGAATTAATTTAATTATAAATAAAATTAATTAATTTTTATTAATTAGTAATTAATTAATTTTATAAATAATTAAAATAACTTTTAGAAAAAATTAAAAAAAATTTATATTATAATTAAGACTTTTAATTTTAATTTAAATTAAAATAAAAAAATTTTATGAATAAATTAAAAACTTATGATCAAAAACAATAACTCAGAGACTAAATTTATTAATAAGATATAGTAAAAATTGAAATTTTCTCTATATTAAAATTTATAATTTTATTAAGAAATAATTTTTATTTTATATTAAAATAAAGTTTATCAATTGAATTTAATATATATTTTTTTCAAATTTTTTAGATTTTTTCTGAAAGAGTTATTTTAATTATAAAATTAATACAAAAATTTTTACTAATTAAAAATAAAATTTAATTAATAAAAATTTTTATACTAACTT